AGTGCATATATATATATATATATATATATATACATACATACAGTATCCAATATACTGCCCTTTTTTTTGCTACTTTTGGCCTTCATAAACAATTGTTTTTACATAAACAGATGGAAGGAGACACATTGTAACTCTAAACTCAATTGTGCATTTCAGATGCTGTCACATCCTACAACCTCATCATCTGCAGAGAGAAACTGCCACTCAATCACACCAAAATACACATAATGATTGACTTACTGGCCTCATAAAGGATTATGAAAATACAGTATTTCACTAGAACTTGGTCTTCATTTTCACTATTTACTGTTCCCTATCGATACTTCACTCGTACTGTCTCTGCTAAGATGCTTTGGGGAAAAACACCTTTTTCTCCGAATACTGAAGCATTTTCAATCACGTAGTGTAACTTGCACGGCCATTGGTTCGTGTAGTGTATTAAAAACGAACCAATGGCTCGGCAGCGGAGCTCTACGATCTATGAGACTCGAAGCCTCTCACCATAGAATCGCCAGAAGGGCAGTGAGTGCGTCGCCTGTCTGGGCAGCCCCAACGCAGACTGCACTTCACTGAGACAGAATGCTCTCGCTGAGAGTATGAGTCTTGCTCTTCTTCAAAGCAAAGCATTTTTTGAAAGCATTTTCAAAAGAGAGCAAAATTCCTCTTCTGATTGTGGGGTCCCCATACGACGACCAGCCACTCTAATTAATCCAACCCTTTGTCACGCGGGCTGAGGCCTGGCAGGCCATCCCCGGAGTGCCAGACTGGGTTTTGGGGATAATAAAACGAGGTTATTCACTGCAATTCGCTCGAAGACCCCCACGATTCAGCGGCGTGGTTCTCACCGTTTCCCCATCTTAAACAAGGTTCACCGACGCTCTTCTGATATAATAATAATATGCATTTATATGTAGTTATAATGCATTATATACATAATTACAAAATATGCATATTTGTAACAAAAATATAAATATAAACTTACTGTTTTTACAGATATTACATATGTATTATTTAAATATGATAAAAAATTATTATATAACAAAATAATTATATATGTAAATATTAATATTAATAAAATATTAAATAATGATATAATTAAATGTAAATAAAATATTAAGTAATTAAAATGATTATATTAGAACACTTCATACACACTTAATTCTGGTGCCTACATGAATTGTAATAAATTATTTTAATATTGTTATATACAATACCATTCAAAAGTTTGGAGTACCATTCAAAAATTGGACACAATAAATTCATCAAAATTGACAGTAATGTCATTTATATTTGTTAAGAAAAAAAATCAAATAAATGCTGTTCTTGTGAACTTTCTGTTCATCATAGATTCCTGGGGAACAAAAGTATGACGTTTCCACAAAAATATTGGGCAAAATATTCAACCTTAATAATTATCAGAAATGTTTCTTGAGCAGCAAATCAGTATATTAGAATGATTTCTGAAGAATCATGTGACACTGAAGACTGGAGTAATGATGCTGAAAATTCAGCTTTGATCACAGGAATAAATTACATTTTACAATATATGTATATTTGATCAAATAAATGCAGCCTTGGTGAGCATATAGAGACTTCTTTACAATCTATATTATCAGCTAATTTGGAATGAAAATGATTATAATTATCTCACAATACAGAAGGAGACCAGGGACGGAGAGGTAAAGTAAACAGAGAGCTTTATTGAACAGGTGCTGGGAGAGAGAGAGAGATATGGAGAGCAAACGGGTTAGAGCAACAGTCTATGGAATGGAAGGGATCGGGCTCACGTGATGACGGGTTCCTTTGTGGATCGGGCTGAAGAGGATGGCACAGAGACAGGAAGGTATCAGGATGGAGTCCGGGTTCAGTGAGTCAGGTAAGGAGTAGCGTAGTGAACTCAAGACCAGACGAAGTGTGACTGCAGTGACTGTGCATTTAAGCTGGTGCTGAGTTGGTGACAGGTGCGGCTGATTAGTACTCCGGTGATTGTGAACGGG